CCTTTGGATAAGTTAACAGATACCCTCGGTCCTCTTTCCTGTCATCATTCCCAGACTGTAAGAAATCTTGGAGTGTTTTTAGATAGAGCTTTTAAATTAGAGAAGCAAGCGTCCACAGTTGTGTAGACCAATTTTTATCAGTTCAGTGAAATTGTCAAAGTGAAACTTATCTTCCTTCAGAAGACCTTCGAAAAATGTATTCATGCCTGCATCTCCACTAGACTCGACTACTGCAGTTCTCTTTATTTGGGTCTTGAACATTCATCTCGCCATCACTTGCAGTTAGTCCAAAATGCTGCAGCATGTCTTTTAACAGGTGTCAGGAGGAGTGATCACATCACTCCAGCTTTAGCAAATTTGCACTGGCTCCCTGTCCATTTGATTTTCAGATTATTTTACTTTTTACTTTCAAAGTTTTAAATGGTATGGGACTCAGCTGTTTAAGCAAACACCTCAACATATATAACCTCAAAGGAGCACTGAGATCATCGAGCCAGATGCTCTTAGTATAACCAAAGTCTCGATTAAACCTCAGAGAGGATCGGGCCTTTGCTGTTGCAGCCCCTGGACTCTGGAATAACTCGCCACTTGATATTCATACTTCAGAGTTGAAACAGTCTTTTAAATTCCATCTTAAAACTCAATTTTTCACCTTGGCCTTTAATTAGAATTCAGTTTGTGTACCATTAAGTTTTTTGTTTATGTTGTCACAGTGTATTGTATTTTCTGTTCATTAACTAAGCTGTAAAGCACTTTGGTCAACTATGTTGTTTTAAATGTGCTATAGAAATAAAATTGACATTGACGTTGACATTAACTCTGGCAGTTGGTGAATATTCATGAATATTTACATGAATATTACATTTTCCCCAAAACTTTAAAACTTAAAACACAGTCTTCAAGGATATTGTAATAATGTCCACAAGTGCTATTAAATCCACATAGAGTTGGATAGAAACCCAACAATAGGTCAAAGCATAACCAGTTGCAGTTAAGGGACTGCAGTTATATTTGTCCCACATGACCCAGGCTCGGTCCAGGTGGTACCAGGTAAAGATACCTACACATCTCTGGAAGTGACGTAAACGTCTCCATTGAACTGCTTGCAAAGCGCTCGGACGATGGCCAGACCGATGCCTTTGTTACTGCCGGTGACCACGGCAACCTTGGTCGACATGTCTGCACAGAGAGAGAGAGAGAGCTACAATGCAGAACAAAAGATAATTGTATATTGACTTTGACTACTTTACGTGAGCATCCAGTCTGAGCTACATTTTCCTTACAAAAATCAAATACAATTCATTTCAGTTTTATTTATATAGCGCCTAATCACAGCAGTTGCCTCAAGGTGCTTTATACTGTGACGTAGAGACCCTACAATCAAACCGAAATCCAACAATCAGATGGCGTCCTATGAGCGATCGCTTTGCAATAGTGGGAAAGAAAAACTCGCTTTTAACAGGAAGACACCGAGAGGGACAGCCATCTACCGCGACAGGTTGGAAGTAAGAAAACAAGTGACTATTAAACACACAGGGTGATCACATTATTACATTAGCCAAAAAAAAGAGCCAGCTTTAGGTCACAGTTCACTCCACTTTGCACTATCGCTATCAGTCAACCACTTGGAACCTCATATCATGATTATATGCATTTTTCTTACATGTGCACAGCTGGAAATCAAGCAAACTCTGTACTTGGGAACTGGCAGGTTAAAGATCCATTAATTAGAAAATTTAATTTTTCACCTTCAGTCAACAACATATAACACAGAAACAAAGACTTGAGAAGATACAAAGAGATATTGGGAAGGCTAGAATACATCTGAGCACAAAGAAAAGATAGAAATAACTCTAAACACCAACAGAACCCAGAATACAAAAGTAATGAATATGCATGTATAATGCATTTTAAGCCTTACATATGTTTCATATTTAATCCGTCAGATCAAGTGGATCAAGTCATTTCCCTTGTAATAAATGTATATGCCAAATTTTGAACTACTGATCAATTTAGAATATATCAACAGGCGATCTGACATGAAGAAATGGATGAATCCGCCGTGATGAACATTTCAGACAAAAGAGAGAAGGGAGTGCATTTTTGAGGTTTTTATACTTTTGGACATCTGTTATCACACGATATCATGTCCTGTTTTACCTAAGACGAGAAGACATAATAAAACATGTGATTTATTAAAAGTGAAAATGGTTGGAGCATTCTGAAACTGCTGAGATTTGTTATTTAAGCATGCATAACCACTTCAACTGTTAAAAGCAGCATTTGTTATTGCTAAGCTATAACTACTACTTAGCCATCTTACAGCTAAGTAGTCTTTATATTCAAAGCAGTAGTAGGAAGCCACATCCACCCCTCAACGCCTCTTACAAACCTTCTTTAAATCTCAGTTACCTCTGGGTTAATTAAATAAATAAATAAATAGATGCTAATTTGATTTTGTTCGTTTGTTTTCTGCCTTTGTAAATGGACGGTTTAGAATAATTAATGTGCCATGCATGCCTTTGCACTGTGGAAAGGTGGAAAGAAGCTAGTATACCTGAAGGGAGAACATGCAAATACAACACAGAAAGGCCCTACAATTTAAAACAGGCACCCTCTGACCTCTGTAGGTCTTTGATTCCTATGTTGTTTTGCTATTTCGTTGTTCTGAGATTCATGCATTGCCTTCAAAGACCAGTATGTACCTGCTGGATAAAGGTGCCTCAGAACCTGATCAAATATGGTAGGAACACAGAAGGTTTATCTGACAGTCTTAAGTCTTTCTCTGAACTCTGTCACCATCGTGCCATAAGAAATACACACAGCGTTGGCGTGTATAGTTTCACATTCACATCATACCATTACTGCTGTTAAATGTCAGGTCACCTTTGACCTGAACAGTGTGTAATGGGTACAATGATTAAATAACCTGTGTGAAGCGTATATATATGAAAAAGTTGTTTAACTTTAAGGCAGTTCTCTTATCAGTGTGGGGGGGCTGTAAACCGGTGAGATTTGCAGAGTCATGATGATACATTGAAACAGTAAGAACTCAAAATATATATAATAAGTAATATTGAAAAATTGTAAATTCATCATACATCTTACATTTAATGTCAACAATGTTTGTTTTGAGGGTTTAACTGCCTGTTTCAGTACATTCCAGCTATAAAGGAGGACATGTCATGTGATTTATTTACAAAAGAGCCAGTCAACTAACAAATGTGGAACAAAAGTAAAAGGATGTTTCTTACTTACTTATGCTGCTATTGTAATGTGGAACGAAGCTGTAGCGGGACTGAGAGCGCTGCAGAGGACAATGAATTACTTATTATATACTACAAACAATGATAAAGAAGCTGGGTGGAGTTTTGAACAGTGTGCAAAGCTATAAAAAACTAGCAAGTTGTTGAATATTAATAGGTAGGTGAAGTACACATAAAGCAATACATACATACATAAATACTGGAACAATATGAAAAAATGTACATTTAAAATTTTTGTTAGTACCCCTGAAAACTGCTGCTGTCCTGACTGGTTAGACAACGAGGAGCAATTGCTAAGTTTCAAACCACCTGGAGAGGAACCAGCCAACTCTACTGATCTGTTGTGGGAACTGTGAATGACTGAAGGCACTACATATTTGTTTAATGTGCAAAAATTAGTCCAGAATTCCTTAAAGTGTTACTCAAAGCCAAGTAAGTATCTGGTTAAATTTGAAGGTCAATAACGTCAGTGTTATCTTAATTTAGAAGGTGGAAATTAGAGGTAAATGGTAGGTGGCCTGTATTTGTATAGCGCTTTACTAGTCCCTAAGGACCCCAAAGCGCTCTACACGTTCAGTCATCCACACATTCACACACACATTCACACACTGGTGATGGCAGCTACATTGTAGCCACAGCTGCCCTGGGGCGCACTGATAGAGGCGAGGCTGCCGGACACTGGCGCCACCGGGCCCTCTGACCACCACCAGTAGGCAACGGGTGAAGTGTGTTGCCCAAGGACAACGACCGAGATTGGCCGAGCCAGAGCTCGAACTGGCAACCGTCCGATTACAAGACGAACTGCCAACTCTTGAGCCACGATCGCCACAGAGCCTTTTGTTTTTAAGTCATGCCTCTAGTTTAACTTGTTACTTTGTATCATCTGGCTTCATGGATAAAGCTGGATGTCATCTACATAGCAATGAAAATGGTAATGGTCCCATCACAGAACTGTGCTGTGTAACACAATTATTAATTTTCATGTGTGCAGAAGACAGCCCATTCATATGCACAAATTGTACTCTGTTTAATATATATGATTTGACCCAGTGCACCGCAGTTTCTTTAATACCAGTGTTGTTTTAATCTCTGAAGTGCAATATAAAGGTCAAAAGTGTCAAATGCTGTATTGAGTTCTAACAAGACAAGTACCAAGTTCACTGTCAGAGGTCACGAGGTCATTCTCAACCTTCACTAGTGCTGTTTCTGTGCTATGATGAAACTCTTCAAATAGACCCTTCCTCTACAACTAATCAGTCAGGTGTTTGATAACTACTCTTTCAAGAATTTTACAAATAAGAGGAAGGTTGGACATTAGACAGCTGTATGTTTTTAAGTTTAATTTAGGGGCACCTTGAACCCTGCGGTACAAATGCAAGTGTGACTTGACAAGATGCTCTCAAAAACTGTCTCATGGTGCCAAATGCAGCTGCAGCATTACTTCTAAAACCCCAGCCTCATCATATTTTTTATGATGATCTATGATAGTATGGATGATTTTATATTAGAAAAATACATTTACAATGTAATTTATTGCTATTGTGTGCTTTTAATAACCTTACTTTGAAGTTGTTGAATTGTTTTGACACAAAATGAGTCTTAATTAAAAGCACTTTATTTGATTTCAGTTAATGCAAGTTTGAGTTGTACATCAAAAAGGAAGGAATCCAGTTTTAGAAACAGGCCACAAATTGAGTAGTCATCATGAACACTGTCACTTTAACACAGATTATTTTATGGTATGCTATGGTGTGTGTATTTGATGCCTGGAACATCACTTTTCTTAAATCTTAAATCTCTTGCAAATAATTCTTCATGTGGAATCACACACTAAACTCTCTTTCACCACGGCTGGACTTCCTTGTCGGAGAGAAACTTTCCCTGAGGCTCTTTGGCTCCTGGAGGCAACAGGGCCAGGTAGACAGGAGTGATGGCGCCCTCGTCTGGTGACTTGGGAGCATCTGGTGAAGTGAGGTCAGTGCGCACCCATCCTGGACAGCAGGCATTCAAGAGGATCTGGAAAAACGAATAACAACGAGTCCATGAATAAGAAATGAGGTTTCAGTGGACTCCAAAAGGTTCGGAGATGGCTTTGTATGTAAGTTCATTAGAGCTTGTCTTATTTTAGTTACCCTGTCATTTGGTCTCTCCTTAGACAGACGACGAGCATGAATCATGGACAGCACCTTAAAACACAAACAAACACCCATATTTATAATCAGAGTCTCCGAGAAAAAAAAAGGCTTGAATTGATTCAGTTAATCAGTTCATTAGTCAACCTCCTAATCTAACATCCTGAAGAAAAACTGGGTAAATGTACCGTCACTCCAATCTTAGACACTGAATATGCCATATCAGGCCAACCATGCTGCTTGTGTTCGCCTTTCTTGGCATCATCGAGGAATTTTCTCATCAGTGCCACCAGCTCGTCCTCTGTGATGTCCTCGCTGCGGAAACGCTGCTGGAGTTCTGGGCTGCATTGCTTTAAACCTGTGATGCTAAGCATGCTGGAGATATTCACCACACGACCTAAAATACATACAAAGAACTGCCGTTCACTGC